AAGGAGCTAAGAAGGAACACTGAAGCACCTTTGCTACGCTATAAGGAGCTAGTAAAGGAAACACTGAAGCACCTTTCCTACGCTAAAGGAGCTAGTAAAGGAAACACTGAAGCACCTTTCCTACGCTAAAGGAGCTAGTAAAGGAAACACTGAAGCACCTTTCCTACGCTAAAGGAGCTAGTAAAGGAAACACTGAAGCACCTTTCCTACGCTAAAGGAGCTAGTAAAGGAAACACTGAAGCACCTTTCCTACGCTAAAGGAGCTAGTAAAGGAAACACTGAAGCACCTTTTCTATGCTAAGGGAGTTAGTAAAGGAAACACTGAAGAACCTTTCCTATGCTAAAGGAGTTAGTAAAGGAAACACTGAAGAACCTTTCCTATGCTAAAGGAGTTAGTAAAGGAAACACTGAAGCACCTTTCCTACGCTAAAGAAGCTAGTAAAGGAAACGCTGAAGCGCCTTTTTTACGCTAAAGGAGCTAGTAAAGGAAACGCTGAAGCACCTTTCCTACGCTAAATGAGCTAGTAAAGGAAACACTGAAGCACCTTTCCTATGCTAAAGGAGCTAGTAAAGGAAACACAAGCGCCTTTTCTATGCTAAAGGGGGTAGTAAAGGAAACACTGAAGCACCTTTCCTATGCTAAAGGAGCTAGTAAAGGAAACACAAGCGCCTTTTCTATGCTAAAGGGGGTAGTAAAGTAAGCACTGAAGCACCTTTCCTACGCTAAAGGAGCTAGTAAAGGAAACACTGAAGCACCTTTCCTACGCTGAAGGAGCTAGTAAAGGAAACACTGAAGCACCTTTCCTACGCTAAAGGAGCTAGTAAAGGAAACACAAGCGCCTTTTCTATGCTAAAGGCGCTAGTAAAGGAAGCACTGAAGCACCTTTCCTATGCTAAAGGGGCTAGTAAAGGAAGCACTGAAGCACCTTTCCTACGCTAAAGGAGCTAGTAAAGGAAACACTGAAGCACCTTTCCTACGCTAAAGGAGCTAGTAAAGGAAACACAAGCGCCTTTTCTATGCTAAAGGGGCTAGTAAAGGAAGCACTGAAGCACCTTTCCTACGCTAAAGGAGCTAGTAAAGGAAACGCTGAAGCGCCTTTCCTACGCTAAAGGAGCTAGTAAAGGAAACGCTGAAGCACCTTTCCTACGCTAAAGGAGCTAGTAAAGGAAACACTGAAGCACCTTTCCTACGCTAAAGGAGCTAGTAAAGGAAGCACTGAAGCACCTTTCCTACGCTAAAGGAGCTAGTAAAGGAAACGCTGAAGCGCCTTTCCTACGCTAAAGGAGCTAGTAAAGGAAACACTGAAGCACCTTTCCTACGCTAAAGGAGCTAGTAAAGGAAACACTGAAGCACCTTTCCTACGCTAAAGGAGCTAGTAAAGGAAACACAAGCGCCTTTTCTATGCTAAAGGGGCTAGTAAAGGAAGCACTGAAGCACCTTTCCTACGCTAAAGGAGCTAGTAAAGGAAACGCTGAAGCGCCTTTCCTACGCTAAAGGAGCTAGTAAAGGAAACGCTGAAGCACCTTTCCTACGCTAAAGGAGCTACTAAAGGAAACACTGAAGCACCTTTCCTACGCTAAAGGCGCTAGTAAAGGAAACACTGAAGCACCTTTCCTACGCTAAAGGAGCTAGTAAAGGAAACACTGAAGCACCTTTCCTACGCTAAAGGAGCTAGTAAAGGAAACACTGAAGCACCTTTTCTACGCTAAAGGCGCTAGTAAAGGAAACACTGAAGCGCCTTTCCTACGCTAAAGAAAAGTAGTATTGTTGTTTCCTGGTCGTCTCCTCGGGTCACACCATGAACCGGTAGCAGAGCGGCGCTGCAGAAGTAGGGCTGCCGGATCGATGCCGGTCGATGTGCAGGCTAATTTTAGCGGCAGGGTGTTTTTCAGGGGGGGGTCCGAGTTGTGCCGCTGTTTAATGGTTGAGGCGATTTTACGGCCTGCAGCGCTGTTATAGAGGTCAGCGAGCTGGGGGGGCGACGGGCTCTCCACAGGGACTTTACAAACCACACAAGCACAACATGATGGCAAATTACTATTAACTGTTTCTTTAATATCAGGATGAATTGTGATGATTTTAAGGTCATGAGAGGCTTAGTAGGACCCAGGAGGTTCTACAGAGAACCCTCATATTCCCAGGGTTTCCTCCAGGACCTGAATGGGCCACCATGGATGTGGTGGAGCTCTGAAGACCCTTGGAGAACCCTAAAGGGTCAGACATGTTCCTTTATAGACCTCTCAGGGCTGATCATAGCTTTGTTCTATCTAATTGAATTGTCTGATACTTTTCAATAAATCACAGAAAAGAGACCATCTGCCTCCTGCTGAGGCTGAAGGCCGCCGCGTGTTTCTGCGTCTGCGTGTTGACGCACTGGTTTCACTTCCTGGTTGTAAAGTCCTGCGTGTGTTGCAGAGCGATTCACCTCCAGAACAACAGGTGGAGTCACATGTTTTGTTGAAGACGACCTGGAGAGTCACGTCTTTGTGTGTGGAAGTCGCTGGTTGCTTTATTTATGTATCATAGACTTTATTGCCCCGTGCATCCACACTGCTGCTTTTCATCAAGGACACATTTGTCCCGTATTTTCCTCCACGACTTTGTTCCCCTCGTTGGTGGAGATCTCCCTCCACGAATCAGAGGCCATCCGGCGTCCTCATAGTCCGCCAATGACGGCTTGTACAAGCGCTCATATTTAAAAGCTCTTCAATCTGATCCGTTCTCTCGTAAACGTTCTTCCTTTTAATAACGGCCGTATTGTGCTGTGAAAACGGAGACGTGAGACTCCGTAAAGGACGTAGTCAGCAGACCAATCACAGCCTGCTGCTGCAGGACGCTGCAAAGCTTCAGACGCTAGTCTAGAAAAATGGGTCGACGAACACGAGGAGTGAAAAGACACGCAAGAGTCCTTGCATCTGTCTGAAAACACAGAAGCATAAACTAGACTTTCCTGAGGGACCAGGATTTAACACACACACACACACACACACACACACACACACACACACACTCGATGACTTTAATCCCTTCGCAGCAGCAGATGGGCCGTTTTGTCACATCGGGATGCTGAAAAGTTGGAAGCGTGTTGGGGGTTGATCTGTCAATCACGGAGCCTCTGCCCGTGATTGGCTGAACCCGGTGACACTGCTGTCCCGTGTGAGTCAAACTCCTCCCACCTCGCCACGATGAAAGCAAACAGATCAGACAACACGGACAGGCATCCATCTTCATCCATCCATCTTCGCCCCGCTGCTGTTCATCTGTGCTGTCTAACCTCTGACCCCGCCCCCCCTTCACCATGCTATTGTTCAGCAGGCAGAGGCCACGCCGGCCTCCTCTCCCATAATCCCCGTCATCCCCGTGTCTCCAATCGCAGCCGAGACCACCGTCATCCCTCCGACGTCACAGGTTTCTTGTTTGTTTGTCTTTATTTTGTCTCCATCTTTGTGTCTCTGCGACGTCCGTCTGCAGATGTTGGTCCTCAGTGTCCTTTTGTCCGTAACATCTGGCTGCCGGTTGTCATCGCGTGGTGGTTGGCTGCAGGATTAGAGCTGGAAAGGGGGCGGAGCTTTTTAGTATTTAATAACCAGCTGAAGAAGAGCTTCATGCTTCAGCGCAGCGTGAAGCGGCGACATGTACGTCCCGCCGGGACCGCCACTCGGGGGGGGGCTCAGGGTGGTGTGGTTGGTGTGGGGGGGCTCAGGGTCGTTTCCTCAGACTGTGTGACGTGTCTTTTCCCCTCAGGCCAACTCCCCCCCTGTGGTGGTCAACACGGACAGCCTGGACACGCCCCCTTACGTGAGTTCACACTTGTACTTCTACTACTGCATTGACAACATGAAGCAGATAATACATATTTTTAATATATATATATCTAATATAGTGATATATATATATAATATATAGATATTTAGTGATTGATATATATATATATATATATATATATAGATAGATATCTCACTGGAAGAAATCACTTCCAGTGATGCAGGTTGAGCAGTTACACAATAAATAAATAAATAAACTTCGTCCACTTTTTTATCCATTCCGTCGACTTTACATTTTCCTCCTCTGCACCAGCTGGTAAGACACACAAGGTCATTTAAGGTTTCAGATGATGAAGAACTTCTCTTCTACTTTGCGCTCAAAGTACTTTGCGCTTAAAGTACTCCGGTGATGAGATACTTCCGGTTTGCAGTGGTTACAAACAGCTTTTGCTCGTCCTCGGTTAATGTGAGTTGAGCTGCTCAACAACAAAGAAGCGCATGACGTCATATGTTAATGCGTTTAACTCCCCTACTATGTGTGTATATGAATACACATACGTGTGTGTGCAGGTGAACGGGACGGAGGCCGACTACGAGTACGAGGAGATCACGCTAGAGAGGGTACGTTTTCCTCCAGTAGTTTAAGGCTCCAGGACTTTAATGGAGTAACGTGGTGAAAGGATCTTTATGTCTGATAAACCCTCATCGGTACATCGGCCGTGTGGTGTCACTACTTTACAACAGCAAAGCTACTGAACACTTCTTTTATATATTTCAAATTAAAAGCCAACTCTAGGCTTTTATTGTGAAATGTACAGGAAGTGTAGTGAGGATAAGCTTGTTTGTAGTGAGGACGAATGACGGATGACGGTTATCTGGCTGCACTTCTGTTATTGGTCCTCTCCTCCAGGGCAACTCGGGACTCGGCTTCAGCATCGCGGGCGGCACGGACAACCCCCACATCGGGGAGGACCCCAGCATCTTCATCACCAAAGTCATCGGGGGAGGAGCCGCCGCCCAGGACGGCCGGCTCAGGTAAAATATTACCAACACTAGAACAGAACGAGGACCGTAGCAGCACACCGAATATGTAGAAGTACCTCGCATCTAGACCTCTGGTTACCCACAATCCCCTGCTGTGCCCTGCCGCCTTTCCCCCCTTCATCCATCATGCAGCCATTCCAGCAGGTGTGATGATGTCAGTGGTCCGTGAGGATCATGTGACTGGAAGCTCGAGACGCTTTGTTTGGACAAACGAGGACAAAGCTTCACCAACGTGTCGGCGATCAATAACCTCTGATGCTGCTTGTTGTTCCTCAGATACCCAGAGAAACTAAGCCCCGCCTTCTCTTCTCACCATTGATTGGATCTATGATTTAACTTTTTTAATTTTTATTGAGAAAACGACACAATGATGCAGGTTGACAATTGAACATCTTTTAAAATGCTTGTTTTCTGAATGTAGTTTTGTTTGATCAGTGCTAAGCTAACGTAGCATCAAGGTAACAAGTTGTTGTTGTTTGTACCACGTGGTTCACGGAGCTGATCACAGTGTACTAATGATCATAAGAATAAAGTAAATCAAGTTGGGGCTGTTCGATTGACCCTCGGGACGTCCTGTGTTTCAGGGTCAACGACGTCATCCTGAGGGTCAACGACGCCGACGTCCAGGACGTGACCCACAGCCGAGCCGTGGAGGCCCTGAAGGAGGCGGGCTCTCTGGTCCGACTCTACGTCCGCCGGAGGAAATCCGTCTCCGAGAAGGTGATGGAGATCAAACTGGTGAAAGGACCCAAAGGTAAAATATCCTCCGAATGTCCCTGCCGAGGTCCTCTGGACAGTTCTCACGCTCTGGTTCTGGTTCTGGGCTCGTTGGGTTGCAGGTCTCGGCTTCAGTATAGCAGGTGGAGTCGGGAACCAGCACATCCCGGGCGATAGCAGCATCTACGTCACCAAGATCATCGAGGGAGGGGCTGCACACAAAGACGGGAGGCTGCAGATCGGAGACAAGCTGCTGGCTGTAAGACGTCCTCTACTTCGTCCAATGTGTGGTAGTAGTACTGGTACTAGTGGAAGTACCACAGTAACACAAGTGAATACTCTGTCGCATGGTAGAGCTACCAGTGTCCTCTGTAACACGCCTGTCCTCTCGTGTCCTCTCCGTCCCCCTCAGGTGAACAGCGCCTGCCTGGAGGACGTGAGCCACGAACACGCCGTCACTGCCTTGAAAAACACCCCCGACGTGGTCTACTTGAAAGTGGCAAAACCCAACAGTGTCTTTGTGAACGACAGCTTCGCCCCCCCCGACCTCACCAACTGTGAGTGGGCGCTACAACGCCAGCGTAGCATCCATCCCATGCTACAACGCCAGCGTAGCATCCATCCCATGCTACAACGCTAGCGTAGCATCCATCCCATGCTACAACGCTAGCGTAGCATCCATCCCATGCTACAACGCCTGCGTAGCATCCATCCCATGCTACAACGCTAGCGTAGCATCCATCCCACCAAACTCCATGCAGCAAACGAGCGCTTTAGTTCACCTCTTTGCAGGATGTTAAATTGTAGCGATATTTTTCAGTTTGGTGGATTTACACAAAAATTATTCTAATATTGAATATTCACATAATACTTAACTGCCTATTAAGACTTTTATTCTCTGCTAATATTTAGATATTTTCCTTTTGATTAAAATGTTTTTCTCTATTCTATATATCTGATAATTTGCCATATATTTAGAATACCTTACTTAATTATTATTTTATTAATTTCTCAATAGTTTACTCTCAGGTTATTAAACCATTTTATTGTTATTTAAAAAATATGTTACTAATAATTTTTCATATATTTTGCTCATTTGATTAATCAAATTATTAATATCATGACACACTGCTGTGGTGATGGATGAGTTCATTCAGAGGCTTTAGTTTAATATAATTTAATATTTATTACGAATGATTCGATGCCATAAAAATAACCTTTCCTAAATCCCAACACGGTTTCCATGGAGACGACTCGCAGCTTGAGTTTCTCGCTCGCTGGTTTACTTTACGACCCCCTGGAAGGTCGGCACACAGTCAGACGGTAACAGGAGCCGACAGGTGAGCGCGGGCTCGGCTCTGAGGAGGCGGAGCCTCGTGTGACGAGTCGCTCTCACCGTGAAGGTCATGTGACTCCCTTGTGTTTGTCATCGTAGCGCCTTTGTTGTGCGTCTCCGTTCCAGCATTCTCCCAGCACACGGAGAACCATATCAGCCCCCCCAACCTCCTGGGTCAGCCCCTCCCCCTGCCGGCGTCCTCGGGCCGCTTCTCTCCGACCCCCAAGAGCATGCTGGGAGATGACGACGTCACCCGGTGAGGCCCCCAAAAGACTGCAGATGATAAAAGTTTAGATACGTAACTTATTTATAACCTTTGAGTTTACAAACTGCACAATGTCACATTAATGTTGCATTTAACCAGGAGCGCTCTCCTAAACGCACAGCTCGATGCCCCGCCCCCCCGCTGCTACACACATCACGCTCACAAACTAGAAAAGACACGACGCTCGAGTACCAGTATGATTTATTCATACACGGTTAGAAATAAATCATATGAAATAAACGGCTGGGTGAGGTCACGTGGCGCCGTGATTGACGGCTGCGTGAGGTCACGTGGCGCCGTGATTGACGGCTGCGTGAGGTCACGTGGCGCCGTGATTGACGGCTGCGTGAGGTCACGTGGCGCCGTGATTGACGGCTGCGTGCTCCAGCAGGGAGCCCAGGAAGGTGGTGCTGCACAGAGGAGCGACCGGGTTGGGCTTCAACATCGTGGGCGGCGAGGACGGAGAGGGGATCTTCATCTCCTTCATCCTCGCTGGAGGACCTGCTGACCTCTGTGGAGAGCTGAGGAAAGGAGACCGGCTGGTGTCTGTACGTGCACACTCGTCACATGACTCACTCGTCACATGACTCACACACATTCATCTCAGACCAACAGTCATGTGACCATAAACCAGAGAAACTAAACTTCAGGAAGTGAAGTTTTTTGTCTAGTCGTGATGTTTTCAATAGAGGAGGAACTTTTATTTTGTAGTAAAGCTTCAGAATCCAGATGTTCAAAGACAAAGATAAATATTGCTGTTTATCTCATAACGCCTGATGTCTGGTTGTCAGGTGAACGGCGTCGACCTCCGTAACGCCACGCACGAGCAGGCGGCCGCCGCCCTGAAGAACGCCGGGCAGACGGTGACCATCATCGCCCACTACAGGCCGCAGGGTGAGACGCGCCTGCAGGACTGTGAGCGCCTCGCCGCGTGTGCTGCCGCGCGGTAAACGTCCTGTTTGTGTGCAGAGTACAGTCGCTTCGAGGCGAAGATCCACGACCTGAGGGAGCAGATGATGAACAGCAGCATCAGCTCCGGTTCTGGATCTCTGAGGACCAGTCAGAAGAGGTCGCTGTACGTCAGGTGAGCCGCCGCGTGGACACGAGAGCCCCACTTGTTCTGATTGAGCAGCGGTGCCACTCGTTTATGTGTGAATGTGTGAACGGTGACTAAAGACCAAAAACCGGCCCCCATCGCAGTGACAATGTGCTCAGACCAACACTCCACCTGCTGACGTAGACGGGTGAAGCCGCATGTCTCCGATAAGCGTCTTCATCGAGACGTTGCTGTTTGGTTCATCATTTCTAAACAGGGTTGTCCTACATTCGTGTTTTGGCATCTTAATGGACCAAAGCGTAACGGGCCGAGGACACAGGACACAGGACGCACGACGCACGACGCACGACACACGCCGTGCTGCTGGTCATGACGTCATGTGATCACATGGTCTCTCACATCAAAGGCAGCTCTAGTCGAGCAATGTGGGAACGAGCTTTTCATCAAGCTGACTCTCGTTATTCCAGTGCTGCTGTTTGTTGTGATGATGGTGATGGAGGTGATGGTGATGGTGATGATGGAGGTGATGATGATGATGGAGGTGATGATGATGGTGATGATGATGATGGAGGTGGTGATGATGGTGATGATGATAATGGAGGTGATGATGATGGTGATGATGATGATGGAGGTGATGATGA